AATGATAAATTCTCACATGTTCAAGTCTTTACAGAGGATGATTCTATATTATATTAATGTTCCACTAAATTCATCTGAAGAGTTGAGCGCTCTCTCCCGTCCAAAGACTATAGAATACCCTAATATCTTACAGGGACTTTGTCCCGTCTCACTACCACCACACTAAAGTGGAGCAGAAATTTCATCAAAACGATTTAAAAAAATAAAATTAGCCATTTACAGGGTTCGTACGGTCATGAAAACTTCAGAAAGCTTTGGAAAAGTCGTGGAAATTTATTTTACAAATCTCTATATAACAGAATATATGTTTAATCATGTCTTGAATCTCGGTGCGGGATTGCGCATTTTGGTTTTACTCATTCCCGCAGGTTTCGCACGTTTGCAAAATTCCCGCAAACATGTATTTAATATACAATGTAGGTTAGATGAGTTTAAAAAAAATCACAGAATATCAGATTAAGTCATTTGAAAACCGCGTGAGTGGTTCAGCTGTACCGCGTCTTCTCGTTCTCACTCTCTCAAAATTGCCTCTTGTCTGCACTAAGAGAGCTGCTGCACGCTGCAATACAAGACTATCGCTCAGCTGACTGGACTGTCACTTGCCTAATCGGGTCAGTGTTGCATCATCACAAAAGTTTATCATTTGCACGTCTTTTTAAGTCTATTTAAACCATTCGGTACTAGCGCGCTCCAAACTAGTTTTCTGGGCGCTCACGGTCACATCCAAAGCGCCGAGCACACGAAGCCGCATCGCAAACACCTCAAGAAAAAGTTATTATTTTCACTTTTTCTGACTCAAGTAACCTTGCATTTTAATAAATTATGTTACATAAAGACAATTAAACTGTCAGTAATAAATGAACAAATTACTAGCAATGCAATAGCACAAGGATACAAATGAAACAAACTGTGTTTTAACTTTTTCAGGTAGGCTATAGCCTAAAACTAACAGAAGCTGCTACTGCTCAGGAACAAAATACTATGATGTATAAAGTCATAAATATAGACTATATTTATATATTATTCCCTATTAAATATGAAAAAGTTATTTAGTCAAGAGTAGATTTGAGCAGAGTGATTTTTTTTCTTTTGTTCTTTAACAGACAGACAGACAGCAGGTATACTAAAAGCTGCTGTCACTTTCATACCAAATGTTAATGTTAACAATGTTAATTAATTATTGGTTATTGTTAATTAATGTTAACAACAAAAGACAAAATCACTCACTGCTCTTGACTGAATAATTTTTGTAACTTTAATTTTAAGAAATCTGTTGTTTAATTTACAGTGAATTTACTGTTTTTAATTTACAGTTTATTCCATTTCTGTACCTGAATGTTTTCCATCAAAACTGTTTCTAAAACGAAATTCAGGTCCTGCGTTTAATTTATAATACTGGTTAAGCAAATTACAATATACTTAATATTCTGGCATTCAGTTATGTGATTATGTAACTTATGTTCTCTGCATGAAGTAACGTCTTCGCAGCCTGTGCTTATTAGAAAGCAAACAAATAGCACTAATAATCATACATTTTCCGAACATTTGTGTAAAATAATGGAGCATTAGATCATGAATATTGCCTTAAAAGTCATTGAAATGTATTGGTTGAATGAACCCTGCATTTAATCAGTGAATGCCTACGATATAGGAGTTAGCCTATCACACAAACTAGAGTCCTGTTTTTCCGAATATCTGCACAATCGCAAATGTACAATAAACAGTAAGTTACTGAGTAACTTTCAGACACAAAATTCTGTTTTGCCCCATCAATGCGTCTCCGAGCAACACAGTGCTTTGTTTCTCAGCATTACACGGACCAGTAAATGGTTCAAACAGGCTATTAGTACAGTCGTTTGCCAAGTTAAATGAATTGGCATTTTAAACGAATCGGTTGATTTAAGGATTCAACTCGCTCATTAAGACAGTCACTTGCGGCCACCTACTGGCGGTTGTTTTAAAAAGTAGCTCATTATTTCATTTTTGCAATCATTTAATATTTCTACATTAAAATGTTGTAGCATTTGAAACAAATGGGTTGATTTAAGGATTCAACTCGCTCATTAAGACAGTCACTTGCAGCCACCTACTGGCGGTTGTAGTTTCTTATTTTAAAAGTTAGCTCATTATTTCATTTTTGCAATCATTTAATATTTCTACATTAAAATGTTGTATTTAAACTTAACATAACTTATGCAAAATCCATCTATGGATTTTGTTTATAGTGATTTCATTTGATTGTTAATAGCCAACATGTTTTTTTTATTCAGATTGAATTTATTAAATTTAAGAATCTGACATAAAAGGACACAGATATGACAATACATTTTCATAATACATCTCTCTGTTTTTTTCTGCTCAGTGTTATTTCAGGGTTTTGATCTCTCAACTGAGAGATCACATCCTGTTTATTGTATTATAGTGACTAGTTAATATTACATCTAAACTTTGACTAGGCTAGACTTGTTGCCTAGTAATTGTATACAGTATATGAACCTGAAAGCATATTTTAATTTGTGTATTTTGTGTTACTCAATGTTCTAGTTGAGGGCATTTGTAGGTATGGGGCCCAAACATAACCTCAAGCCCAGGGGGCCCCGGCCCTGTAAGTCCTGCCCTGGTTGCTGTATATATTTTATTTCTATTAACCTTTATTAGCAAAACGTACGGCTAACCATCTTCAAATCTAGGAACACAATAATAGGATACAAGACACAAAATTGAATATGAAGTTTCAAGAACACTTTTTCCCCCACAAAACTTTTTTTTTTTTTTTTTTAAACCTAAAACTACAAGGCAATGTAAAAAACAATATTTACCCAGATCAACCCCATCAGACAGTTAGCTTGTTAAAGGTGAGGGTCATGCAGGCAAGACAATTTTTTTCTTCTGTCATTTATTTCCTGCAAGAAAAACTCCATGTCTTCAATTCTCTCAAAGGTGAAAAGGAAGGGAGCCCGGATTTTGTCCTCATCCATTTCACCTTCATGGAAAATAGTGTCAATAAATAGGTCCCGCATTATGGCCAACAAGGCATCATCCTCGGTCATCCTTAAGATCTGTGGTAAGTGAACTTTCCCAGTAAAGTGGGGTCTATTTTCCTCCACCCAGTCACAGGCCAGCAGAATCTGTTTCATCACTGCCGAGTCCTTTGTGCAAAAAGATAAGACATTTCAATAATGATGTAATTAGTCAAGTGCTGCTCAAGCACTTTTATGAAACAGGAAAGGTAATTACAAACTACACAGTACGTGCATAATTATTATGCAAGTTGATATTCTGGTAATTTTTTTTCCAAGCACATTTGACAAAATCCAAACCACATCAATCTTAATAACTACTATTAATTTTGTATTTAATTATATATAAGTGATATATAATTGTTAAAGGCTGGAAGTGAAAAATGCCTTATACTCAGGTGTGCATAATTATTAAACAGGTTTTCTTTTACAGGTAAAATGCACCAGAAAAGAGATTTAACTCAGACTGAAAAGTCAACTATTATTAAATGCCCATGAGAAATATTCAAAAGTATTATTCAAATATCCTAAAATATGACCCCCACTTAAGAACATGCTGAAGTGAAGACTGATTTTTATAGGCAGACAGGTTGAGAATTACTCTTGAAGGACCAGCACCACATCCACGTGTACCACTCTTTGAAGAATTTCTCATCAAGAAACTGGCAGTAACTTTTGGGATCTTGAACCCTGAAAGGTCCGTCTTGCTCATTGTTGTAGCAGCTCACACCATGACCCCTTCACCACCGCTGCTGCTGTCTGACTTGAACTGGTGCCGATACCTCAGGAATCACTCTCAACCTGTTCATAAAATCTTTTCAAACAATCAGTCTTCATGTATTTCAGAATCATAATCACACAGCATGTTTTTCTTATTAAGTGGGGGTCTTGTTTCAGGATTGTTTATCTTAGCAAAGTCCCTGAGAACCTGACACCTTGTCTTCTGGAGACTCCAGGTAGGTTCCAGTTTTGGAAAAGGGTAGCACTGGAGACTAAAGTGTTCCTGGTGGTTTCACACCAAATTCTTCACCTTAATTCTTAATTCGTTTACAGTTAATGTGTCTTTTCTTCTCCAGCTACTTTTTTTCTGACCATATTGACCCAATGAGCATTTCGCTGTCTAGTAGGCATGATTTGAGCAATTTCTGCATTGCATTACTTTTGAATATTTCTCATGGGCATTTAATAATTGTTGACTTTTCAGTCTGAGTTAAATCTCTTTTCTGGTGCATTTTACCTGTAAAAGAATTTTTCACTTCCAGCCTTTGTTAACAATTATATATCACACATATATACATACATATATATATATATATATATATATATAATTAAATAAAAAATTAATAGTAGTTATTAAGATTGATGTGGTTTGGATTTGGTCAAATGTGCTTGGAAAAAAAAAAAAATGACCAGAATATCAACTTGCATAATAATTATGCACGCACTGTAGTGATCATAAGTTTACATAGCCCTTGCAGAATATGCAAATCTGTTAATAAATTCAAATAAAATATTGTACACACGTCTCAGAGTTCAGTTTCTTTAAAGTTTAGTTTTTACATACCGCCATTACGTTGAATTGTCTGTCACTGTCCGCCATCTTTCCAAATGGTGCCCTATGCGCTTTGTAGCTCCTCCTCACTGGACGTTCCGTATAGCTCCTCCCCGCTGGACGTCTAGCTCCACCCATTTGCTCTGCAGTGAGCAGCAAATGAAAAATTACCTAACGTTACATATACGATTAAAATCTGGATAGCCAACTAAACTACCGGTCTCACAGAAAGGAGGGAGATCCCATCCAAATAGGCCTATTATTAACATACTCAAATCTATGATAATGCTAATAATGCTAAAGAGCTAACCTTAACTGGACATTCCAGAACCAATTTCAAAAATTAAAAACGACAAAGCAATTAACTTTATTAATGTTAATGTTACTGGCAACTGTACAAATAAAGCATATTTTAAAAGTATTCTTACCGAGTTCAGTCTTCTTAAACCTGGCCAGCCGCAGCTTCTCCACTCTGAGGAGGATTTCTGAGACCGCAGTCACCGCATCGATTAAAAAACCAAAAAACAAAACAAAAAAAAAACCTAGTTCGGATGCAGTGTCCATAATGAGTCCGCTAACTGACAGTGCGCTGTCCGGAGGCGGGACATATTCTGGGCGAATGACTGACAGTACAGCGGAGCTGTCGACTTGAGGGCGGATCCGCCCCGGAGTCTGTTGCTATCAGGGGCCCCTGCTGTTGGGGCGAAAGGCACAATAATTAACATGATAATTAATAGATGGCTGACTTTTCCAATTGTTGACATGACACATGGTTAGATTCAGATGGTAAATATCATATAGCCTATTATGTTGGGTGTCCACCTTAGAGATAATCACCATGTTTATAATGAAACCATCATATTTAAAAACATATGATTAATATCATATAATAAAATATAATTTGTTGTTACTACTGTACGAAACACCTCAAATGATTTTATAGTGAAATGTGTCATTTTTCATGTTAATCAGGTCAATTTTGATCAGGAAAAATGCACTGTGGCACTGTTAACATGGGCGCCGGAAAAAAAAACTGCGCTGCTTCCGCTCTGCTGCCGCGTGCGGTGTGAAACCGGCCGGTTTTTGCTGTGCGGTTTGGGTAGCGGCGTCCGTCAAAAATAGACTAGGCGCCTATCTTTAGCGAAGCGGCGCGGAGAGCCGCTTCTGGGACGCTTTTGAAACGTGTCGCGGCGCATCTGGTGTAAACACTAGCATTGACTAGAATGACCGCGATCAGTTCCGGTAGCCGCGTCGGAGCCGTAACGCGCCGCAGATGTGTGCAGTGTAAATCAGGGGTTATACTTCTTGGGTTTCTGCGGCGTTCACTCTGTACTGATGGATGATGAGCATCAGCTGGAACTCAATTAGCGGTCTGAGACAGGGAGAGAGAAAAGAGCAAACATGCAACGCGTAACATGCCCAATAGATGATAGATATCACTTCCATGATCGCACGTTTTACAAATACGTCCACAGGACATAATATCCCCAATTATCAAATCTTTTAACAATGGATAATACCACGTTTGACCCATCTTTGTTGTTGTATATGTAGCAAGGGGCCCAGTTGTAGTGACTACGCCACCCCGGACTACCGGGGAAAATAACCCAAATAAGGGCACGCAAATGCGTTACACATGAAAAGAGCAAGAGGCGTGAATCTCAGTACAAACAATCTTTTATTAAGGCTAAAAGAATTGGCTGATATTAATTTAAAACCCACAGCCGGCACACACCAATGTCATAGGTCAAAAAAAGAAAAACAGAAAACATCCAAATAATAATAATAATAATAATAATAATAATGCTGTAGAAAGCAGAGTCTTCCTATATAAGAAGCGGGTGAATGTAACAGCACCAGGTATGCAAAAGAGAAAATCACACCCACAAGATTCACTGCAAATAATAACACAGCAATAGTGACACACACGAAAATGGCCACCCCGAGTGAAATAATATCCGTGGTGCTGTCAAAACCCGACCCGCTCCCGGAAGCACTCCACTCCTACAAACAAAAGAAAAAGAAAACATCACATTAAAAATAAACCACAAATTTAAGGTCCATATTCACAACAAACGAAATGAAAGAAAATCAACTTTTGAAAGAGGAGTCACGAAGGAAGAAAAAAAAACAAAATTACAAATTACTCAAAACAAAATACCAAACAGAAAACAAACAAATAAACGAACAAACATCAAGCCCACTTGAATACTAGACATGGACGTAATTAAACTCCCAAAAGCAGCAGCGTGGCTCGAACAATGCAGAATAGGAAACGAGCTGTATTAATTACCACTTCCGCTCAACCTATTCCAAAACACACACACACACACACAGCACAATTACAACTACAATAAAACATCCGAAAGAGCAAACAACAGAACAAACACAGCTTTGACAAAGATTAATCCATATTAATTTATACAGTGAACACACTCAGAAGAATTGGAGAAACTGAGGAGTTTCAACATCTGGAAAAGCGGTTGGAAATTTAAAAGATCCGGGCAGCAATGGTTATAAAAAAAAAAAAAACCCCTCTCAAAAACAACATTTCCTTACTAAAGCTCTCATCTTTGACAAAGTCCATCATTTATTTAAATTATTATATTGAATTTATGACAGAACAATGGCGTGTTAGATACAGAGAGAGCATGAGCTAATTGAATAGAATAGCTTTGTCATTGTACAAGTAACTTTACAATAAGATTTATTTTGAAACTTCCAAATCGATAGTAAAGCTTAAGAATACAAATGATTTAAAATGGCAATATAAAATTATCAATTATAAAAAGTTTGCAGCAGTATTAAAATAGTTCATTAGAGGTATGTGTAAAACACACAACATTTACCAGAGAGCTTCTCTCTTTTTTAATACACTGAAAGGTGATACACTATATATATCTCGTTTTTGTTTTTAGTAGGCATGCAAGCAAAAGAGAATGACTCCCTGTCACAATTAGTGTAATTAAAGTAAAAAATTATGTCAAGCTTTTCTTGTGCTT